GGGAAGTGGATGCGGGGATAGGGCACCAGGTTGGTCTGGAACTCTGTCAGGTCAACATTCAGGGCTCCATCAAATCTCAGGGAAGCAGTGATGGAGGACACAATCTGACCAATAAAGCGATTAAGATTAGTGTAGGTTGGGCGCTCAATATCGAGGCTTCTACGACAGATGTCATAGATGGCCTCATTGTCTACCATGAAGGCACAATCAGAGTGCTCCAGGGTGGTGTGGGTGGTGAGGATGGAGTTGTAGGGCTCAACTACAGCTGTGGAAACCTGGGGCGCCGGGTAGATGGAGAACTCCAGCTTGGACTTCTTGCCATAATCAACTGAGAGCCGTTCCATGAGCAGGGAGGTGAACCCAGAACCAGTTCCCCCACCAAAGCTGTGGAAAACCAAGAAGCCCTGGAGACCGGTGCACTGGTCAGCCTATTACAAAAGAGAGGAACAGAGGAAAGATTAAGTTTTGTTCTTTGTAGTACAGTCACAGTAAATATATTTCATTTTTCATATGTCCCAGGACTTAAATCTTATTTTAACAAATGCTTTTTAAAAAGTTCTCATTAACATTTACAAAATGACACCAAATAGTTAATTTTAACTGAAATTTCAAAACCCCAAAGGAATAACTCATTCCACTCTTTACTAAAATAACAGTTCAATTCTGTGTTTAAAAAAAAAAAAAAAAACAGCATTACTTCAAATGTCTTTTTTAGGCTCATTAATTTACTTTATTCTTGAAAAGAAACATACCAGTTTACGAATTCGGTCCAACACGAGGTCAATGATCTCCTTGCCAATAGTGTAGTGCCCTCGGGCATAGTTATTGGCAGCATCTTCCTTGCCTGTGATGAGCTGCTCAGGGTGGAAGAGCTGGCGGTAGGTGCCAGTTCGAACTTCATCTGGAGAAGGAGGGAGAGAAAGACAGAGGGACTGGGTGAGTGAGCGAGTGACCAGCAGAGCCCCCAGGACAGACCTCCTGTCCCAGCACCCTGGGATCTCACTTGGGTTACTGAGGCCAACTCACCAATGACCGTGGGTTCCAGGTCTACAAACACTGCCCGGGGCACGTGCTTGCCAGCGCCCGTCTCACTGAAGAAGGTGTTGAAGGAGTCATCTCCTCCCCCAATGGTCTTGTCACTTGGCATCTGGCCGTCAGGCTGGATGCCATGTTCCAGGCAGTAGAGCTCCCAGCAGGCATTGCCGATCTGGACACCAGCCTGGCCAACGTGGATGGAGATGCACTCACGCTGTGGGAAGGAAAAGTGAAAAAAATTATAAAATTAAGCTGTATTAGCATTTCAAACTTTGAGTAAATTTCTACAACTATTTCTAATGACATTCAGGCATTTTTCAAAATTATTTGAGGTCATATCCCCAGCATGCTACAAAGATTAAGAAAAATCATCTGCTACAAATGGTGCATATGGGTGTGGTCTGAATAATGATGTCACCTTGGCCCTGTTCAGCACATGGTACCAGCCCATTGTTCCTACTACCATGCTTGAATAGAAGACTTTTCATATTTAAAAAGTATTCCAGGCTGGGCGCGGTGGCTCACGCCTGTAATCCCAGCACTTTGGGAGGCCAAGGCGGGTGGATCACCTGAGGTCTGGAGTTCAAGACCAGCCTGACCAATATGGTGAAACCCCACCTTTAAGAAAAAAATAAATAAATAAAATAAAATAAAAGTATTCCATATTCGAAGCACAAATTTTGTAAAATAAAGTAAATCCAATCCATGACTTAATTGGGATCAATTTTACTGCTTTCTTCCCTTTTAAATAAAGATTAACGTTTCTTCTGAATAGGACTTGATATTGTAACAGGGACATTTGAACTGCAGCTGAGGCAAGAAGCCACACCCTTCTGCAGTCTGTCTGCAGAATCCATCAATACCAGGGGTTTAGAAGCTAGACAAGGTCTGCCTTCTGCATTGCTGCATTGCTGTATTTGCAGCGCCTGGTGCTAGCCTGTACTGTCTGCTATATTATTTAACAGAGCAAGCTCTATTTCCAGCAACTGCCTACATGATCTCATTGTGCTGTTTTGCCAGTTTTCCTCCTCTGACCCAGCCCGGGACCATGTGCCTGAATTGAAATGAATTAATGAAGATTCGCTAGAACAAAAGACAACGGGATGTGGAATATAATTCTTCTTTGTCTGCAGCAATTTCATCACTTTTCTTTTCTTTTTTAAAAAAAGGTTTTTCCAGATCTTCTCCACTGTAAAAGCTGAAAAATCACCTGTATCTTAAAAAAAAAAAAAACCATACAAAAAGGTTCCTAAGTTAGAAAGAAGCATCACATGATAAGCTACCGAACAAAGAATAAAAGCCCAGTGGAAGGATAATGAAATATTTATTTAAAACAACAAAATAGTATTTTCATCTTGAGATTCTCTACCTACCACATAATATTCATATTCTTTGCATCCAATAGAGGTTTTCTTCCTCTGTGATCTTTAGGGCTACCACTTTCATTGTCTATTCACTGATGTGGTGGGGGCCGTCGGCGGGGAAGGGCGTTTCCTAGGTCCTGACTATCAGGGTTCCCCGGGGGCTCATAAAGCGCGCTCTCTCTCTCGCTGAACGTGCAGCCCAGGCACGCGCGCGCGCACACACACACACACACACACACACACACACTCTCTCTCTCTCTCTCTCTCTCTCTTTCTCTCTCTCTCTAGTCGGTCAGGGCAGACGTTAAAGAGCTTGTCAAGTGAATTGTGATTTTGCTCAAAAAAAAAAAAGTCATCTAACATATAATAGTGAAGAAAACCCTTTTGGATCCTACAGTTTCGCAATGACGAAAGGCTTTTCTTAAAGTCTGCTACTGACAGAGGAGGTTCAGCGAGGGCGAACCCCGCCCCGTGGCTCCAACGCCATAGAAGCCAGAAACAAACAACCCCGCCCCTGCGCCGCCCTGAAACCCGCTGCCGGGGGCTCCAGCAGAAACTCACCGTGTTTTCCCGGGAAAAAAAACGCCAACGACCGCGAGGGGTCTTCCCACGCTAACCCCAGGCTGCGCTTTGTTCCCGTCCCCCCTCCCGCATCCCCCAGGTCCCCCACCGTCCCAGCTCTTTTTGGGCGCCTCCTCCTCTCGCGGTCCTCAGAGAGCGACGCGAGATGGAAAGAGGCCCCTCCGCGGCAGCGAAACCGGGCGCACAGCCACGGGGCCCAGCCCGGACGCCCCAGACCCCTCGGTCGCGGCAGACGGGCTGCGCTGTCCTCAGCCCCGAAAGGCTCTTGGACAACACAGGCGCCCAGGCGCCGCCTTTGTACCTCCCCAGCGCTCAGCTGCGCTCTGGGCGCAGTCCTGGCCCGGATCCTGCACCCGCACTGCGGCGGTGGCGGCGGAGCTTGAGGATTTGGGGCAGACAAAGCTAAAGCACACGACGACCCTCGCCCAGACAGCTTACGAAAGAAAAGAGCTTAAAAGTTTTCCAAGTAGACCCTGGGGGCGCTGACTCCACCCAACGGCCTCAAAGAGCGGAAGCCGATTCTCACCATGGTTGCTGCTTCGCGGCTGTCGAGCAGATGGCGGAGACGAGGAGGAGAAGTTGTTGCTTCTTACAGCGCGACTCTTAGGCGGTCGATGTAAGAGAACCTGCGGCACAGGGGCGGATGCGGCTCCCTATATACAACTCGGTCACCATGGGGATGGGCTGGGGCCTTTTCCTGTTGGTCCAGACCCCCAATCTGCCCAGAGAAGTCATGACAGGAGACTGGTGATTGGTGCAAGCGACGTGGGATGAGGTAATCTCTCCCCCACCCTTTTTTCTCTAGCATCCATAGACTGTTTGCATCCTTTAGACAAAGAGACCGTGCAGAAGCAGTCCGCCGAGCATCCATTATGGGGTGGGGTTGGGGAGGGGCGGAAGGAGAAGAAAGGGGACTGGGTTTGGAAGACTTTATATTGCTTAAATCTCAAACTACGGTTAAAATTGTCTATGTGAGGGGTTTTTTCCCCTACACTTAATAACAGAATTTGTGTTCAGATGCACTATTTAGAGGAAAATTACTGCCAGCCCCTCCTCGTAGTATGTTAGACTTGACTACATTCTAACAGAATGTAGGGTTTAGCATCTCTAATTGCTGTAAAAATAAAGTGGGAGAGAAAATGGGCGTGATTGCTCAAAATGGCTTGGGTAAATGTGATTTTTTTTTAATTTTAAAAAGTATTTATTAATACAGTCATTCAAAATGGTTTCTCAGGTTCAACTAATTTATTTTCAGACCTTCTTTTGCAGGCACACGCACACCCAAATAGCTAAACAAAACTGGAAGATGGAAAGAATAACCATACTAAATAAAGAAGCGAACACATAGTTCTAACATGGCAATAAACAATCGCCAGTGAACGTAGAGTAGTTATAATAGTTTACTAGAGGTATTCCTTTATGAGACGTCTATGTAACACATTTTGTGTCGTACATTGTCCTTAGAATGCATCATCTTTCCTGATATAGAATTGGGAAAATACAAGGAGAAATAATTGAGTTCACAAGTTAGTACTACATGTGTGCAGTTATGTTTATGCACTGTACTTTTGTCTGAAAAGTAACAAGCAAAATAATAATTACCAAGAAACCAAATTTAAAAGAAGAGAATAGCATAATGTAAAAAGCACACCATTTTGCAATGTTGCCTCCATCCACAGACAACTGTGAAACGTCAGCTCAATAGCTGCATTTCCTTTTCATGTAGTTCTTATGTCAATTTGGTAAATATCCTCCTGCAGGTGGACTTCTAACTGTGGGAATTCTAGTCAGCCTCACACCCTTGCTATTCAACTAGAGACTCTGGTGGTTGCTCAGTTGCCCCTTGGGACAAAAAGCTTTGCTTTCACCCCTAGGAAATGAATTGTAGTAACATTCTCTTGCTATTTAGAAAGGCTCCATTCTCAGCAATGATGAGCTATGCAGAATAAGTCACTGGACTTCGTACCACCAGATATTGGTGATGAAATTTCAGAGGTAAATAAATAAGTTTGGCCAGAGAAGTTGAAATTTCATTTGTATTTTGACAAATAATTTTTCCTTTTGGTTTCTAGTGACAGATTTTCAGCGTCTGCAGCACTATTCACACAGTACTCTGCGGAGCCCATTCATTCCTGCTGGGCTGGCAGGCTGAGCAGGGCGTGGGAGGGAGGGACTTGAGAATACAGCTGCTGCAGGTTGTGGTGTGACGATGGCGACCACAGATTTTTCTAGCCTGCCATCCACAGTTCTGCTTTACTTGTTCAATTTTGCTGCAGTAATATTCTCTGGAAAAAATATCCAAAATGCAACATCATTTTGTCTAATTGTTGTATATTTCCCAGGAAAAAATAATCCTCAACATCATCTTATCTCCATCTCTTTAGCAAAAAAAAAAAAAAAAAAAAAGTATATTTCAGTAAAGAGACAGGAGGATTAGATATTTGAATGCTTCAATAATTAAATGGCGTGAGGAAGCATAAGGATTAATAAGTAGCCCATTCAAAATACTTCCACAATTTTAATAATAAAATATATCAGATACTATTGGACTATAGTAACATGTACAAGTCTTTTTGGAATGAGAAGCAGAGCTTTGAATTATTCTCTTTACAATATAAAAAGATTAATTAAGAAATATGTGATTTACCCAATTGTCTCAGTTCTTTATGCAATTTCCAGAGCATTAAATAGAAGAGAGGTGGATTCACGCAGTTGTCTTTGTAATTCTATCTCAGAGCCATTGTGTTCCTTAGGTAAATGAGGGTTACTCCCTCCCCTTGGGCCTAAGTAACAAGATCTAGGTCAGAAATAGACTATTTGAGCACTGATAATCTCAAATATATAAACAAGAGATTGGAGAAACAACCAATCTATAATTTTTGTTCCTTATTATCTGATTTAATAGCACTCAAACTCAAACTGTGGAAAGCAAAAAAATATTTTTTACTAGTTTACCTCTTATTTTTACTGACATTTTAAAAAGTTGACATCGATATACATGTACAAGTATTCTGCTAATGGATTCATTCTTGTACACAGTGAGATTAGTATGAAGCATTCTTCTTTCATAATATTTGTAGAATTTTAATCATTTATTTACATGTCTACATTTCTCTGCCATTAAAATGTAAGTCCTAGTTCCTGCCAAAATGCCTGACATACAGTAGATATTATACACGTTTGCTTAATTAAATGAACAGGTCTCTGTGCAGAATTTCTTTTCTTTGTTTTTATTTTTCTGTGTTGGAGTCTCACTCTGTCTCCCAGGCTGGAGTCCAGTGGCATGATCTCGGCTCATTGCACCCTCCCGAGTTCAAGTGATTCTCCTGCCTCAGCCTCCCGAGGAGCTGGGATTATAGATGTGAGCCACCATGCATGGCCTGGGCAGATTTTCATTCCCTATTATCATGCTTAGTAATGTAAAGATATTAGCCAGAGTGGTGGTTTACTCCTGTAATCCCAGCATTTTGGGAGGCCAAGGCAGGCAGACCACCTGAGGTAAGGAGTTTGAGACTAGCCCAACATGGCAAAACCCTGTCTCTATCAAAAATACAAAAATTACCCCAGGTGTGGGGACTTAGACCTGTAATCCCAGTACTTTGGGAAGCCAAGGTGGGGGGATAATTTGAGGTCAGGAGTTCAAGACCAGCTTGGCCAACATGGTGAAACTCGATCTCTACTAAAAATAAAAGAAAATCAGCCATGTGTAGTGGCTCTTGCCTGTGATCCCAGCTACTGTGGAGGCTGAGGCAAGAGAATCGCTTGAACTTGGAGGGTAGAGGTTTCAGTGAACTGAGATCACACCACTGCGCTCCAGCCTGGGAGACAGAGGGAGACTCTGTCTTAAAATACATATATATAGATATATTTAATAAGCTATTTTACCATTTATAATCAGCAAGCATTTACTAAGTAAGCCCAAGATTATCCTAGGTAGAGAGGAATTCAGATGTAATAGCATGATCTCTTTTTCTAGAATCTTCCAATTTAATTGAAGAATTGAGGCACATACATTCCTATAGGTTTGAGAATGACCTGTATGTGTGTGTGTTCGGAGAGAGGCATGCAACAGATCTCAACAGAGGGATCTATTGCACGACTCTATATATCATAACTTATGAGGGAAACAAGTTGTTGAATGCTTGTTTTTACACCTTCACTTCCTAGTCATCCCTAAATCCATTTCAAACTGGATTCTGCTCCTACCACTCCTTTAAACTAAAGTGCCTTCCTGTTTATTATTATTATTATTATTATTACTGTTTGTTTTTTGAGATGGAGTCTCACTCGAGTGCAGTGTTTTGATCGGCTCACTGCAGGCTCCGCCTCCTGTGTTCAAATGATTCTCCCGCCTTGCCTTTCAAGTAGCTGGGATTATAGGCCCCCACCACCACACCCAGCTAACTTTGGTATTTTTAGTGGAGATGAGTTTTCGCCATGTTGGCCAGGCTGGTCTCAAACTCCTGGCCTCAAGTGACCAACTTTCTTCAGCCTCCCAAAGTGCTGGGATTACAGGGGTAAATCACCTCGCCCGGCCTATGCTTGTTGTTAAATCCACTGGATACATTTTAGTTCTTGTTGACCTGTGACAGGCTGTGTCACAGTTGACTATTATTTCCCTCAAGACACTTCTTCCCTTAGCTTCAAAAACTCTACATTTCTGGGTTTCCCTCCTACAATTTTGTTTCCAGTCTGTCTCTGCTGGTACCTCCTCCTCCTTTCCCTAATCTTCAAATGCTGGAATTCCTCAATCTTCAGTCCTAGAGCTTTTCCTTATTGTATTCTATGTGGTCTCCTACATTTTTAGTAGATGGCAAGTACATTCATGCCCAAGGCTTCAAATCCTTTCTATATGCTGATGACTTCTTTTATTTACTTATTTACGTTTACTTTTTTTTTTTTTAGAGACAGGGTCTCACTATATTGCCTAGACTGGTCTCAAACTTCTGGCCTCAAGTGATCCTCCCACCTCAGCCTCCTGAGTAGCTGGGATTACAGGTGGGAGCCACTGTGCCTGGTGCTGATGACTTCTCTTTTTTTTTGAGTTGGAATTTCGCTTGTCACACAGGCTGGAGTGCAATAGCGTGATCTCAGCTCACTATAGCCTTTGCCTCCTAGGTTCAAGTGATTTTTCTGCCTCAGCCTCCCGAGTAGCTGAGATTACAGGAGCCCACCATCACACCCAGCTAATTTTTGTATATTTAGTACAGACTAGGTTTCACCATGCTGGACAAGCTGTCCTTGAATTCCTGACCTCAGGTGATCCACCTGCCTCTGCCTCCCAAAGTGCAGGGATTACTGGTATGAGCCACCATGCCCAGCCTGATGACTTCTTGATATCTCTTCTTAGCCTCAGATCAAATAGTAAATTTCCAGTCTCTGGCTTGTTTTCTCAGATATCTCAAATTGAACTAATGTTTATTTATTCATTCATATTTTAATTATTTTTTTTGAAACGGAGTTTCACTCTTATTGCCCAGGCTGGGGTGCAATGGCACCATCTCGGCTCACTGCAACCTCTGCCTCCCAGGTTCAAGCAATTCTCCTGCCTCAGCCTGCGAAGTAGCTGGGATGACAGGCGTGCATCACCACACCCGGCTAATTTTTGTATTTTTAGTAGAAATGGGGTTTCACCATGTTGGTCAAGCTGGTCTTGAACTCCTAACCTGAGGTGATTCACCCACCTCGGCCTCCCAAACTGTTGGAATTACAGGTGTGAGCCACCGCGCCCACCCCTATTTGTTTATTCTTTGAGAGGGAGTCTCACTCTGTTGCCCAGGCTGGAGTGCAATGGCACGATCTCGGTTCCTGCAACCTCTGCCTCCCAAGTTCAAGCAATTCTCCTGCCTCAGCCTCGAGAGTAGCTGGG